GGAAGAATGAAGGGGAAGGGGGAGGAAGGAAAAGGGGAAGGGAAGTTAAGAGAGTAAGGAAGTTAGGGGAAGGGGGAGGAAGGAAAAGGGGAAGGGAAGTTAAGAGAGTAAGGAAGTTAGGTGATGGCAGGGAAGGAAAAGAGAGGAAAGGAAGGAAGGGAAGGGAAGAAGGGAGAAAGATAGGGAGGAAGAAAGGGAGGGAGGGTAGAAGGCATGTGGAAAGGAGGGAAACAAGAAGAATGGAAGAAACGAAGAAAGGGAAGGTATGAACCCATGGTAGGGTCAAACACGGGTGTATCGTTCAGGTGTGCTTGGGCTTCTGGCAAGCTTTGTAGGACAGATAGGTAAAAGTGCTGGTCTATTATTTTCGCGTGTCTAGCGAGGTGTTGATTATCATAGGAGGACACGGGAAGAAGGCAAGGGATACCAACTTGGGTGGTCCCTCTCAGCCACCATCAAGTGTCTTTGCACATCAGCGTTGGAGGTGACAAACTAGGTGTATTTCTCTATCTTCACACGCATTTCCAGATCTTCCCAATCAGTTTGAGTATCATCAACGATTGAGATGGACACAAAGATAGAGAAGTAAAACGCACCTTGAACAACCTCAGGCTTGTACAAACATACTCACGATAAACTTGACACATTCAAATTCCACCTGCATGAGCATAATCCGAATGTCTTTTTCAGCATAAGAAGGAGGGTCACCGTAAAGGAGGTGGATGAAGGCCCACACACCTGGCACCTGAGTATTGAGATGGTCCAGCATCTCACGCTGAGGAGCTCCGTAAGATGTCAGGGGCATGTCGTTCATTAAGCCAATGTCTTGTTAGTCGCTCAAGGGGGTTTTAGTGTGCTCTGGAGGAGAAATGGGTTGATATTGTTGGGGGAGTCAGTGCACCTGGGAGGAGGAGTGTAACACTGTGTAAGCATGAACTGGTGTTGCACAATCCTTGGTAAGTGTGATGACCTGTGACATGCTGTGACATAGCGTCACAGGGCCAATTTCTTGAGACATGGACTTTGTACCTTCCACAACACCAATCCAATATATTTTTTGCAGTGGGTTTGAGGGAATGATGTGAATTGAATCAACTGAGAGAGTTTTCCATGTAGATATTGTATTTATTGCCCCAAAAATGCGAAATCAGCTTGTTTTCCCTGCCAAATTTGGCACTCTGGAGAGATTGGACTATAACCTTCCAACCACAACACATATAAACATGGTTTGTGGGAGGATATTACTTAGAATTTGAATTCCAATCGATCTACGGATTCAGAATTTTTATTTGTGGCCCCTATGTTGAGATCACCCCTAAGAATGGGCACTTTAACATAGTTATGAGGTAGTAATTAAAATTCTGGACCTGTAGGATTGAAGCCACATATTAATCGGTCATTTCCTCTCCACAAATCTAAGCCAAAATCCTATCCATTGTGATGCTGATAGCTTGAGTAGGCAACATTGGGCTAATAGGTGCTGCATAGCCACCAAAATCAGACACATTGTAAAATTTTATACATTTGAATAGAGGCTATCTATACAATTTTGGTGCATTTTTTTTCTTGTAAATTGGTGGAGAATTGACTGAGCTACATCATTTACAAGTTTGAGCTGTCAGGAAAAGCATCACCAGTCTGCCAAATTGGGAAGGTGCCTGTT